CTGATGGGTGGGAGTAGGTGGCCAGATGAAATGGAGATGTGGTCGCAGAAATTGTCTGATAGACATGACTGGGTTTTTCTGCTTGTGTGGCATGTTGAACAGTTCTGTTTCCAGACATAGGGTCTTCCAGCAGCCACCTTCTTGACTCAGGGCAGCACTACCTCCTTGATGTGGGTCTCCATGTTGAGTCTGAATTTCTCACTAACAAACTCGGGGGAAAAAAGCTTAAAGAAGGAGACTAAAATATGAAGGACGTAAACATAGAGATAGAAGGAAGGAAGGAAGGAAGGAAGGAAGGAAGGAAGGAAGGAAGGAAGGAAGGAAGGAAGGAAGGAGGAAGGAAACACAGAGAAAGAAAGAAAGAAAGAAAGAAAGAAAGAAAGAAAGAAAGAAAGAAAAGAAAGAAAGAAAGAAAGAAAGAAAGAAAAGTACGGGGACGATAGTAGTAAACACAGATAAACGAAAGAAAGAAAGAAAGAAAGAAAGAAAGAAAGAAAGAAAGAAAGAAAGAAAGAAAGAAACAAACAAACAAACAAACAAACAAACAAACAAAAACGAAGAAAGAACCAGGATATAGCATAAAGAAAGAAAGAAACGGAAACGATGAAAAAGATATAAAATTAAAGGAATGAAGAAAAGAAAGAACGAAGTCAGGGTGTAATCACTGAGAGAAACGAAAAAGAAAGATAAATGAAAGAAAAAAAGAAAGAACCAGGATATAAACAAAAGAAAGAAAAAAGAAAGAAAGAAAGAAAGAAAGAAAAAAGAAAGGTGCCAAGACAGAGAGAGAGAGAGAGAGAGTGCGTAATTAAAAGCGTGGGACAGAAAGAAAAGAAGAAAAAATAGTTTAGAATAAATAGATATTGAATAGACTCAGATAGATAGATAGATAGATAGATAGATAGATAGATAGATAGATAGATAGATTTGAACAGACGGAGATAGATAGATAGATAGATAGATAGATAGATAGATAGATAGATAGGGACACTGAGATAGATAGATAGATAGATAGATAGATAGATAGATAGATAGATATGGTGTATGTAATCAGTGAAATAAATGAAAGAAAGAAAGAAAGAAAGAATTCTATAAGAGTTTGCAATTGGCAAAAAGCATCTGAGCGATAACAGAATGAAAAAAAATCCGAATAAGAACAAGAATTGGAAACAAGGAAAGAAATAAAAAAAAATGTCTGAAGCATGAATATTGAGCGGGAATTTCATGATGAAAGACGAAAATTGAGGGCAGAAAAGATGAAGCAAAAGACAAAGGAATGCTTCTAAGAAGAGAATGAATTTTATAATATATTAGGGATGAAGGTAAAAGGACAAAAATATGGAAAGATAAAAGAAAAATATGAAAAAAGCGATATAAAAAAAACGGACTCCTGATAAATGCTGAGTAACGAAAAAATTTGAAAGGAAATTGGCCACTAAAAAGTCATTTATAAGTTAGGTTAATTTATATGCTTAAAATCAGAAGGAAATAGTTGAAAATTTTGGCACACATTATGAAAATCGGCCATGAGAAAACTTCATCATAATCTGCCTTTTCCTCTCAGGAAGTAGGGATTGTGGGCTTCTAAAATCTCCAGTCTCTTGAAGGTCTGAATAAATTCTGTCTTTTCTTTATTTCTAAACCCTATTCCCTCATCCATTTGTCAAGCACATCATAGATGTCACGCTCTGATTTCCTCTGTCCCGCTTGCCCTCAATATGTCCCTGTGAGTAACAGATTTTCCAAGCCATCCTTCCTCATTATGTGTCCCCCCAAATTTCAAATGCCTTTTCCTGATGTTAAATAAAAACTTCCTTTTTGTTTCCATTTTCTCCAAAACTTAGTCGTTGCTCACATGTTTGGTGCACGGTATCCTCAGCAGCCTCCTGCAGAACCACATTTCTGTTGCTTGAGGACACTTCTCATCTTGTCGAGCATTCACTGTCATATATATATATATATATATATATATATATATATATATATATATATATTACGTTATAAAATCACTACCAAATAGTCATATTGTTTCAACACTTCTGGTGTAAGACACCAGAAGTGTTGAAACAATATGACTAGTGTTGTAGTGATTTTTAAATATATTTATGTTACAATTTTCGAATGAATAATTATATTTGATCTACTCTGTAGTGAGTACTTTCTTAAGTATAGTATTTGTTGGTTATTGGAATTAATTTGTATACCCCAATCTATACTTATATATATATATATATATATATATATATATATATATATATATATATATATATATATATATATAAAGAAATATAGTCTTAAGGTGTGCTATATTTATGGAATAAAGTGCTCAATATCAGAGATAGAGCGTTTTGTAAATATAAAGGTGTGTTATATGCAATCGTCAACACATATATCTGGCCTGACGATTGCATATATAGCTATGAAACTGACTGTCGCCCTAAGTGTTGACTTTCTATGTTCACTTTATATATATATATATATATATATATATATATATATATATATATATATATATATGTATGTATAAGCCGCAAGATATCGTTGTGGTTTCTGCAACAAGGCAGTTTTTAATTGAGTAGGTTGTTAGCTTACTGCACATCCCCCAACCTAGAGGATCAGATTTTGAATTCAGAGTTGTCCTTCTCCTTGACCAGTTGCCATCTAAGGCTATTTAACCCAGTCGGTCCTGCTATTTACCCATAACTGGGGGTGAAAAGGATTCATACCTTTCCCAAGTTTATTGGTACGTAAGTAAATGTAATGGATTCGACTAGAATTCGAACTCAGCTGTCCGATTCAGTTATGTGCCATGCGTGATACACGCTTAGGTTATCAAAAACAAAAAAAAATAAGATAAAATAAAATGTGGCTAGTTAGTCATCTATCCAAAGATACATGATTGCCTAAGCAATACATGACTGACGAGGCCGCTTTTTCCTGCAGTAGGTTGCCATTTCTTTCTGTGGTTGACCAGTTGCTATCCAAGGATATAGAACACGGTCTAGCTGGGGTGGGGGAGAAGAAGATTCATACCTTTCCAAAGGGTATTAGCCCGTAAGTGAATGTAATGGATTCGACTGGAATTCGAACTCGGATCTCCGATTCAGTTATGTGCCATGCGTGATACACGCTTAGTTGATCATGTATCTTTCGATACATGACTAAGAAGGCAGATTTTTCCTGCAATGTGTTGCCATTTCTTTCTTCGGTAGACCAGTTGTCATCCAAAGCTATAGAACCCGGTCTGTTCTGCTATTTACCCATATCTCGGGGGGGGGGAGAAGAAAGGATTCATACCTTTCCCAAGGGTATTAGCATGTAAGTGAATGTAATGGATTCAAATGGAATTCGAACTTGGCTCTCCGATTCTTTAATCTGAGACGCTATCCATTACTTCACCGTGCTTCCATATAGGAGTATCTATATTACTCTTTTCCTTGTTTCTAACGAAATTTTCTGTTTCTTAATACCTTGCTTAGCTTTTAGATTGCGTCTTTCGCTATCCCAATACGTTTTCGGATTCCAGTGTCGCATTTTACGTCATCTGTTAGAACACTTCCCAAATATTTAAATTGTTGTGCTTGGTTGATTTTGCTACCTCTGGTTTGTAATTTTCATTTTGGACGCATCCTTTACGCATTCTGTGTTCTTGAAGTCAATGTTTAGTCCTTTCTTCATGATTTCCTTCCTTACCTTCTGTAAGAGCTTTTTGTAGATACCTTTCCGCGTAGCAGACACAGGAGAACATTCAGAAGGCCGGAAGAATAAATAGGAAAACGAATAAGCTATGTAACGTATTTACGTGAAAAGATTGCAGAGCCACGGCAAAGATGGTTGGAAGAAAATTAAATTTTGCTTAGAAATATAAGGGATTGAAAATAGTAGAAAGCCAGTATCAAACATGTCCTTAAATGAAACGGCATATTGTTATATTCCGTACCTATGACACTAACGATTATGTCACATTCCTCATAAATATGATGGACACTATGGGTAATATGCTGTCTAAGTAGTCTACCACTAACAGTGGTTTACCTACTTCACGCCGCTGGCGAGTATTGTATTTTGTTGATGTTATAAAGATTACCATTTCATTTCCAACCTCCGTTTTGGTACTCCTCATACAGTAACCCTTTCTAGGTTACAACACTAAGAAAGAAGCTAAGTTTAGCTCATATTCTGAGACGACACCTAATAATGGTGTCGCTTTTAGCAGGCCAGACTATTACTTATATAATGAGTTTGATTCTTACTAGGTGTTCCACATTGATATCCTTTCGTCAGTTTTTAAAGTTTGTAAAATATAATACACTGAACTAAAATAAAAGGAAGATAACGGAAGAAATATAAAAAAAAAACAAATAAGATAGAATAAGTAAAAAAAATCGAATTATAGAGACTGGAGGAGAAATGAGAGAAGCAGACGATAATGGCATTGTTTTTAAAAGAGGAGTATGAAGAAGAAAAGAAAAACGGAAAAATAAGAAAGAGGTAGACAAAAGTGAGGAATAAAACAAAGTTGAAGGGATAAAAGAAATGCTGAAGAATGAATGACAGAAACTATCGCAAAAAAAAAAAGATGTGAAAGAAATAAAATGAATGAGACTCCGAGTGTCTATTTGAATATTAACCGCCCTTTTCAGGCCGCCATTTTTGCGATCTATCTCTGAGATTTCTATCAATTCCTATCTCAATCTGATAGTGTGTCACTGACGCCAGAAAATTTAGGGAATGTTAGGTTTTCGCAACGCGGGAGAACGAAAGGCAAACGTAGTGTGGTGAAAGGAAGTTCTTGCACAAGAAATGTGATTAAGATAAACAAAGTATTCATCAGAGATTAAAAGAAAGAAAGAAAGAAAGAAAGAAAGAAAGAAAGAAAGAAAGAAAAATAAGAGGGATAGAAAAGAAAAATAGAAAATGCAGAACAAAATATTCACGGTAAATAAAATGAACGAATTGATGCGGTAGAAAAGAAAGGATTATAGAATTTGGACACAAGTTTAAAGAAAGAAAGAAAGAAGAATGGAAGGAAAAAAGGAAGGAAGAAAGAATGAAAGAAAGAAAGAAAGAAAGAAAGGAAGAATGGAAGGAAGGAAGACAGAGTTCATATTGAAAAAGAAAGGACGCAAGTGTGATGTTAAGAAAGAAAGAAAGAAAGAAAGAAAGAAAGAAAGAAAGAAAGTAAGAAAGAAAGAAAGAAAGAATGGAAGGAAGGAAGAAGGAAGACAGAGTTGATATTGAAAAAGATAGAACGCAAGGGTGATGTTAAGAAAGAAAGAAAGAAAGAAAGAAAGAAAAGAAAGAAAGAAAGGAAGGAAGAATGGAAGGAAAAAAGAAAGGAAGGAAGGGAGAGAGGAAGAAAGGAAGTGTGGGAGGAAGAAAGGAAGAAAGACCAGAATGAAGGAAGGAAGGAAAGATGGGAGGAAGGAATGAAGGAAAGAAAGAAGAAGGGGAGGCAGGAAAGAATGAAGGATGGAAGAAAGAAAGGAAGAAAAAAGTAAAAGGAAGGAAGGAAGGAAGGAAGGAAGGAAGATTTGTGGGATGAAGGAAGAAAAAGAAGGGGAGGGATGAAGGAAAATGTGTTTTGGAAGGAAGGAAAGGAGAGAGAGATGAAGGAAAGTAAAGGAACAAAAATATAAAAGAGAAAAAATAGTGAATAAGAAAAGGAATGAAAGAACGAAGGAGGAAAGTAAAAAGTAAAGAAAAAATAAAGAAAGGAAAATAAAACAGCTATATAAAAAAGAAAGACAGACAGAAAGGAAAATAAAACAGCTATATAAAAAAGAAACGAAGAAAAATAAAACAGCTATATAAAAAGAAAGAAAGAAAGACAGAAAGGAAAAAAAACAGCTATACAAAAAAGAAAGAAAGAAAAGAAAATAAAATAGCTATATAAAAAAAGAAAGAAAAGAGATAGAAAATAATGCAAAGAAGGAAAATTGTGAAGGAAGGAAGTAAACACAAACAAAGGATGAAATATGGGAATATTAACAGAAGGAAGGAAGAAAGAAAGAAAGAAAGGAAAGAATGAAAGAAATAAAGAAAGAAAGGAAAGAATGAAAGAATGAAAGAAAGAATGAAAAGAAAGAATGAAAGAAATAAAGAAAGAAAGAAAGAAAGAAAGGAAAGAATGAAAGAAAGAAAGAAAGAAAGAAAGAAAGAAAGAAAGAAAGTGCAGATATCTCAAAGGAAGGAAGTAGAAAATCAAACAAGAAAATAAAAAAAACATGGACATAAGACAGAAAAAAGGGATTCAAAAGAAAGAATAAAAGAAAGTGTCTAACGTTAGCGGGAAATAGGAACTGAACGATAAAGAAGTGAAAGAAATTCCAAAGAATAACAACCAGAAGAAGAAACAAGGAATGAAAGAAAAAAAGAAAATGAACATGAAGAATACTGAACGGAAATTTATGAAGAAAACTAAAAGAGGAAAATTGAGCGCACACAAGATTCGAAAAATCAAAGACAAATGCGTAGAATTTAAAATAGATTACCAAAAAAGGAAGAAAAAAAAAAGACGGTCTTTAAGAATGGTACAAAAAATATCTGGGAAAACGTAAGACATTAATATAAAATAAAACTGGACTGACCAGCAAGAATTAACGAAACTGATGTTGCGAATGTGTTAAACTATTTTGCACCCTACGACCTCTCTGTTACAGAGAAGGTGTGGCGAGTCTCTCACTGCTCTGTTGCTAATACGATTGGAAGATGAATGGACGAACCACATCACCCGGCTTCACCAGTTTTGACCTTCACGGCTAGAACCCGCCATGACCCTTACATAGTAACAAAAACACTCATTCCCTCAGTATTTCATCCACCCAAGCAGTTTCCTTCCGCGAACCACTGCCCTATGGAACAGACTCCCAAGGGGATGTTTCCCCGATCACTACAACCTTAACTTGTCCATGTTTAGAATTAAACGTTATCTTCCCCTCATGTTCGTATAAACTACCCCTTAGTGTAACACTCTACCTCGAGTGGCCTCCGGGCCTTGTACAGGGTAAAAAAAAGACAAAGAGAAGTATAATATTTTCTCTAATTACATTATTCGGACTATAGTCCTCATCTTTGTTGCCATATTTATCACAACGTTTCGGCCTCTTTCAGGTGGTGGGAATGTCGAACTGAACTCTTTATTTCGCTAGCTGGGGTAGACTGTTCTAGTTCCACGTGCCATGTCTAATGGACGTCAGTTATCTCCTGTTAATTCACCTCTCCAAGTTCTCCACTGCCTTAACGAGGTATTGAATTCCTGTCACTGGTCACTAAACAACGCCTTTATCCACGGTACCATGTGTCTTTAAGAACTTTGAGAACTGAATTAACAGGAGTTAACTGATAACGGACAGCCATTAGATATGACACGTGGAATTAGAACAGTGTACCCCAGAGAGCGAAATAAAGGGTTCAATTCGAAATTTGTTAAGATAAACGTAGGGAATTGTGGTCTTTGATAAACCATTTTCTAATTCTTTTGTGAAAACATATGTATAGCTAGCCATTCGTATTCAAGGATAGCTGTCTACTAGGGCGGCTAACGAATCCCTATTGCAGACGCTTATTCAAATGCATTTGCGTTTATTCAACACCCACAGAACCCACCTGTGGCTTATACTGCGACTCTGCTGAGCAAACCTTAGTTACAGTTTCTGGGAGAGAGCGTGTTATCTAACGTGATCAACAATTTGAACAAGGTCAAGGGTTCCGTCTACACAATTTCATTCACAAGGCTTGGTTCCATCAGTGGTATCGTTTTCGGGCTCTTTCCAAAGGTGCCACAGGCTGGAATCGATCTATCCAGTTTGAAATAATACATAAACAAACAGGAATTGATTTTCATATGTTACATAGTAACGTTTATATTTTGTTGATATTAAATTTCAATATTGTGAAAAAAAAAATACGCCACTTTCGTTTCATAGAACCTGAAAGAAAAGCATGACGTCATTCGGAGAAACATTTTTCTTCTCTATATTCTAAATTATGCTTTTTATGCAAAATGTCAATTTTTTTTCGTAAGAGAAATTAATTTACAAAACAAGTGTCAGTCAATTTTTGTTAAAATCGAAAGAATTTTAACTTCACTCTGATGACGGATTTATCTTATGAGCATCATTTGTAAAACTGTAAAACAAACAGCCATTGTAATGAGGCATTCCAACCTTCTTTCTGTCTTCCTTCATTTTTTTCTTTCTTTCTCTCTTTCTTTTAATTCTAAGTTTACTCCCTTCCTTCCTTCCTATTAGCTCCGTTTACTTCCTCCTTACCTTCCTTCCTTTATTCCTCCTTACCTTCTTTCCTTCTTTTCTTTTATCTCTATGTTTCCTTCCTTCCTTCTTTCCGTCCTTCCTTTTATCTTTACGTTTATTTCCTCCATTTATCTCTTCCTTCTTTCTGCTAACTCTATGTTTCCTTCCTTCCTTCCTTCCTTCCTTCCTTCCTTCCTTCCTTCATTCATTCATTCCTTTCATTTATCTCTGTTTACCTCCACCCTACTTTCCTTCCTCCCTTCCTTCCTTCCTTCCTTCCTTCCTTCCTTCCTTTCATTTATATCTATGTTTACCTCCACCCTACTTTCCTTCCTCCCTTCCTTCCTTCATTCCTTGCTTCCTTCCTCCCTCCCTTTCTTTTTATCTCTATTTTCCTTCCTTCCTTCCTTCCATCCTTCCTTTCTTTCCTTTCATTTATCTCTATGTTTACCTCCTCCCTACTTTCCTTCCTTCCTTCCTTCCTTCCTTTTATCTTTACGTTTATTTCCTTCATTCATCTCTTCCTTCTTTCTGCTATCTCTATGTTTCCTTCCTTCCTTCCTTCCTTCCGTCCTTCCTTTCATTTATCTCCATGTTTGCCTCCTCCCTACTTTCCTTCCTCCCTTCCTTCCTTCATTCCTTGCTTCCTTCCTCCCTTTCTTTTATCGCTATTTTCCTTCCTTCCTTCCTTCCTTCCTTCCTTCCTTCCTTCCTTCCTTCCTTACTTTCATTTATCTCTATGTTTACCTCCTCCCTACTTTCCTTCCTTCCTTCCTTCCTTCCTTCCTTCCATCCTTCCTTCCTTTTATCTTTACGTTTATTTCCTCCATTCATCTCTTCCTTCTTTCCGCTATCTCTATGTTTCCTTCCTTCCTTCCTTCCTTCCTTCCTTCCTTCCTTCCTTCCTTCCTTCCTTCCATTTATCTCTATGTTTACCTCCTCCCTACTTTACTTCCTTCCTTCCTTCCTCCCTTCCTTCCTTCCTTCCTTCCTTTCTTTTATCTGTATTTTCTTTCCTTCCTTCCTTTCATTTATCTATGTTTACCTCCTCCCTTCCTTTCTACTTGCCTTTCTTCGTTCCTTCGTTCCTTCCTTCCTTGCTTGCTTTCATTTCTTTTCCCTCTTTCTAGATGCATTATGGGATTGAATTTTAGTGAGAGAAATCTGTTCCATATAAAAAGCAAACACCGTTTTCCCAGTTTCCCTTTTCTCTTTCTAGGTGAATTATGGGATTGAATTTGGGTGAGAGAAATCTGTACAATCGAAAATACAAACCGCGTCTCCTCCGTTTCTTTTCCTCTTTCTTTAAGCATTATGAGATAGAATTTTAGTGAGCGAAATCTGTGCAATGTAAAAGGCAAACTCTGTCTTCCATGTTTCTTTTCCCTTTTTCTAGGTGCATGATGGGATTGAATTTTTGTGTGAGAAATTTATACAATCTAAAATACAAAAACCCATCTTATTCTTAACTATTTCTTTTCCCTCTTTCTAGATGCATTATGGGATTGAATATTTTATGAGAGATATCTATACAACGTAAAATACAAAGCCCGTCTCCCCGTTTCTTTTTCCTCTTTCTAGATGCATTATGGGATAGATTTTTCTGAGAGAAATCTATACAATCTAAAATATAAACCCTATATGCCCTTTTTCTTTTTCCGCTTTCTAGATGCATTATGGGATAACATTTTTGAGTGAATGATCTATAAAACCGAAAATTCAAGCTCCATCTTTCTTTGTTTTTTTTTCACTTCCCACTTTAACTTTGGGTTGAATTCTTCTGAAAATAATCTATACAACTAATTTTTCAAAAACCATAATTTTTTCCACGATTTTTTCTCGGTACTTAGACGCAATTTAGGAAAGGATTTTTGGTTAACTTATAAAACGCAACATTTCTAAAAAAAAAGTAACCATGGCTTTTTTGCAAGCATTAGATGATAATGTCATATGCCCCGCACATCCTAATCATTAAGTTATTAAAATAAAAACACGATAAAAATTAATATATTTTAAATTAATTCAAATTATAGCTTTATTGCCTCTTTTGCCTTACGAGAAACATCACGTGAATGAATTTTTAGAAGTGTAATTTATCCAGAATTTCAAAGATAAAAAGATGATTAAACAAGGACGCGTTTTCTCACCAGATTTATTTAACCTATATAAGGGATAATCCTAGGCGGATTAGAAGACCCACCAGAACTTATTATCGCTGGCTATAATCTTAACAGCTTAAGATATGCTGATTCTTCTTACGTCACGTTCTGAATGTACACTAAAACAAGTTCTCGAGAAAAGGGAAAGAAGACCAGAAGAAAGGAATGGCCATTATCTATAAGTAACTAGAATATACGACCGTTTGTAAAAGACACAGCCAAAGGTGTGAGATTTCAGTCAGAGATATCAGAACAAAGCAGGTTTCTGGATAATTTTGTAATAGACAACGGAATGTAGGACACAAAGAACCGAAAGCTGATCAGAATAACGAAAGGTGTCTTGCAGAAACGAAACCGAATATTCAGACATCCGAAAATCTCATTCGAAATGCTATGTCATATCTTTCTTTCTGTATGACAATGGAAGCTGGACAATGACCTTACAGATGAAAGAGAAGGGTCGGATGCTGCGTATAACTCTACTGAACTCTATTTGATTAAGCTTTAGACTGTTATATCTTAGAAATGATTAAAGATATCTTACTGGAATTCTCCGAGGATTTTATGATACAATTGTTAATTCATTTATTTGGATTAATTTTTACTTATTTTTTTTTTCTTATTTATTTCTTATATATATATATATATATATATATATATATATATATATATATATATATATATATATATATATATATATATATATCGGGTATAACAGCAAAATTGTCATATTGTTAGATTCACCTCTGAAATGTTGTTGTATCTTAGAAATGATTAAAGATATCTTACTGGAATTCTCCGAGGATTTTATGATACAATTGTTAATTCATTTATTTGGATTAATTTTTACTTATTTTTTTTCTTATTTATTTCCTCATATATATATATATATATATATATATATATATATATATATATATATATATCGGGTATAACAAAAAAATTGTCATATTGTTAGATTCACCTCTGAAATG